AGAGTGTGCTGTGAGTTAGTGACTGCTCCGTGAGAGGGACGCTGTGAGTTAGTGACTGCTCCGTGAGAGTGTGCTGTGAGTTAGTGACTGCTCCGTGAGAGGGACGCTGTGAGTTAGTGACTGCTCCGTGAGAGTGTGCTGTGAGTTAGTGACTGCTCCGTGAGAGGGACGCTGTGAGTTAGTGACTGCTCCGTGAGAGTGTGCTGTGAGTTAGTGACTGCTCCGTGAGAGGGACGCTGTGAGTTAGTGACTGCTCCGTGAGAGTGTGCTGTGAGTTAGTGACTGCTCCGTGAGAGGGACGCTGTGAGTTAGTGACTGCTCCGTGAGAGTGTGCTGTGAGTTAGTGACTGCTCCGTGAGCGAGCGCTGTGAGTTAGTGACTGCTCCGTGAGAGGGCGCTGTGAGTTAGTGACTGCTCCGTGAGAGGGCGCTGTGAGTTAGTGACTGCTCCGTGAGAGGGCGCTGTGAGTTAGTGACTGCTCCGTGAGAGTGTGCTGTGAGTTAGTGACTGCTCCGTGAGAGGGCGCTGTGAGTTAGTGACTGCTCGGTGAGAGTGTGCTCAGCCGAGTTCAGCCAATTTCATTTCGATCCTCGCGTATCCTCGCGTAACAGGGCTACAGAAAGAAGTGCATGACCTTTTAGTTTCCCCATACAGCACCGCGCACCTATCTTTCCGTTGTTATATTTTTAGTGATCGAGCGAACGTGCACGCACGTAAATGTGCACGTGCACGTGCGTGTGTATAACTATAAGTACGCATGCGTTCAGGAAGGGTGCGCAGCTACATAACTGTTTACTATGTAGGGCTTTGCTTTCCAATCGTCTTAAGAAGCTACAGTCACGTGACGAGCGCTATTTATTATGTTCCTGCCTGATTTCGGCAGTTTTTGACGTTTTGCATAACAATCCACAGTCGTTCTTAATGGAGGGGATTCCTCCATTATTACAGGAGGACACCGTGTTATTATGTGCAAAAGTGCACGCTACAAAAATATCGGTAACACGTTGTACCCGTCTATAGTAAATTTCTAGTTAAACGGTGGGCAGTTGGCTATGGTAACGTGTGACATTTTGACATTGACTGCGAAACAGTAGCGTTGACACTTGTGTTTGATTGAACCTCAGTTGACTGGCGTCCAGAACCTATGTATACTTCAGTGTGTATAGGGTTCATGCTATGATGTGTGCGAACAAAACAACAGTTGACTCTCGCGTGCATTACCCTTTGCAACCAGGAACACATCCGAAATAAAATGATTACACGTCTTGAACGCCTCCACATATCCTGCTGTTTCTAATCGTGGGTATATTCATGAAGGAGCTACGTCTCGTAAACGCCACCATGGTGCATACGCAGATTTTTAAATCGTGACTGATTGCGTGCCCAATTCTAGTTCCGTATTGTCAACCCTGTCAGCATTGTTTCCTGGACTTGTACGTACTCGCAAATGCTATGCTTTGTGGCAACGTGGTATGCGGACGATATTAATATATTCCCGTGTTGTGAGTTTGGTGTGTGTTTTTGGTTGAGAAAAGGGAACACGCGTGAGAAGATGCTGTTGGCTCTAACCGTGCTGGTCGTATTGTTGGTACGTCGCCTAGGTTACCTGACGCCTGATAACTAAACATCCGTGCTGACATAGGTGTTAAGAGTGTAGGTGTTAGCTACGCAGTGGCTAGCTGCTATGTGTGCATGTACTGCGTAGCTAACCGTATATGTTGGCTACGCCATGTTTGGCTATCGTGCGTAAACTCCAGCCCAGCGACGCGTAGCTGTATATATGAGTACAGGCGACCAGTGGGTCAACGATTCCTGACGTAGTTATCTATACTGCTGGATAGAATATGGATTCGTACGACCAGAAGTAAATAGGAAAACATTTTATTCACGTCTGGTACGACGTTGTTTGCAGTTCTCTCCGATTCTTCGCGCGTTCTTTGAATATGAATCAATGTATGTATCGATTTTCGACACAGCATATTTTAGGTAATCGCGACTATTTTTTGAGGTATACAAAGTAGATGATTGGGTCGTGTGTTGTGAAAGTATATTGTTACCACATCCATTTGTTACCGTTTGTTACTAATATCGCGCTATCACTTGAATTGGTCAGGTAACGCTTTCGGGATAATAAAAAATTGTTTATATTCACATATGCGACGTTCTTATTTTGTTTCTTATTTAGCTTGTCATATGAACCTACCTGGCATAGAGAAAGCAGACAATTGAGGTATACGTAAGCACTACTCTCCCGAGCGATGTATATACATAATCTCATTAATATCTATATATATATATATATATATATATATATATATATGTATAATTATATATATACATAATATCAGGAGTGAATAATAATAGATAATCTATAATAGAATAATAGATAATAATCTATTATTATTCACTCCTGATGATATGTATATAGATATATATAATCTAAGCCTACATATATATATGTACTACTATGTATACCTATAGGTACCAGTATTTGCCATGTATTAAATGTGACGCAACAGTTACGCGCAGGAAAATTACCGTGTCATATTTGCTAACCTTTATTTTGGTGTATTCTAATCTAGATGTTTAAAAGTACAAAATTGTGGATGTTAAGGAGAGTTTTTGTTCGGACAGCTAGACAGGGAGCAGGATAGATATTTACTATTTAGATAGATTGTTGTTTCTTTAGGGTTGCACATTGATAAATAAATCAATAGACAGGAATAAGTTTACGTTACGTAGCTACTGCTTCTAGAACGTGGAAGAAAATGTACAGGTTTATCACGCTTCAAGTACATACCGCATATACATATAGTCAAGAGCGTATAAAGAAGGCCTTCTTTATACGCTCTTGATGATATCTATGGTCCACACTCTACGGTACAGCGTCAAAGATGGCTACGTTTTATTCATTCCACTAACAGAAAACGCCACCGTTTTCACCGATGGTGTATATCTAGGAAATAAAGGTAGACGGTGCTTTTGTTTTCAGAAAGTTATTAAACATGTTACTGTTTATTGGCATTGAATATCTGCATAGTACTGGATTAGTGAAAATAGCAGATATTTCATCGGTTCCAGCGAGATAATGGGCTGTCCGGCTGAGGTCGTTGACACAAAAGCCGAAAACCGCTTGTCGGCATTTACTTTGGTTTCGGAGCACTATATCATATCGCAACTTGTGAGCAGAAAAACAAACCAAGCATGTAGGCCTACGTGAACCATCTTCCTCGTAAACCCCTAAACATTGAGATTTGTCACTGAGCGAATTGTAACTAATCATAAATGTGATGTTACATAAACGTACGAATCATAAACTTAATCATAAACGTAATAATCATAACTAAATCATAAATGTGATGTTACATAAATGTAACATCATAATGTGATGTTGCAACCGGTTTGTAGAAAATAAATCATGTTGAGTTCCTACTATCCTAGTATAATCACGTGATTTTAGCCATGATTTATGAGAATTTAATTCAGTTATATGGCCTAATCAATAGTAATATTATTACCTTGGTGATGATCACTGAAATTTACAATTGAGAAGTATATTAAATAATTCCTCTTCTTCTGACTTCTGTCTATTATTGAGTATTAATAAGATATGAATTATGATGCCAAGTATCAGGCAGTTGTTAACACTTATGGATGCAAATAATATGTTTTATTCAAGAGGTCAATATGCCTGTCTTCCTCAATTTATGATGTTTGGTTTCTATGTGTTATTATATACAATTTGCGTAACAGAGGTGATGAATGCATTTAAGTACGCATTTATTTTTGGCAAATTTTCTCCTTGAAATGTGATGCTGGTTGGTCTGATTGGTCTGATTGGTCTAGTTTGGTCTGATGGATCTGATTGGTCATTGCGTTAACACCGTGTCTATGAATAGATGGCACCACAATACAGTCGTAACGAGTTGTAAAAAATTCAGGACAAATAGGTATGAGGTTCACCCCTCTTACACTTATGGTCACGGGGCATGAAACTTCTGCTGAATTACAGTTGAAACAATAGCAACCCCACCCAAACTAGATTTCCCATCCCTGAATGATGACAACACTTCAATCATGTGTGGAAAATTGGCTACCATGGGTTAGGACAGGCCATTCGAAACCATCTGAACATTAATTGAACTTAATTTATTTTTAAGAAATCTCATGTATATATGAAATCCATTTAGTGCTTAATTTTTTACCATGATCCAAGACATTCATCAAACAATAAATATGATTCAAAACATGCAAGTTCATTGAAGGAATTCTGACCAAGGGTGGTCAGGACAGCAATTTGCCCCCTAATCTCAGAAACACCCAGTTGCAAATGGTTAGAAACAACACGTCATCTGCCACACTCGATTCAAACAGTACTGAACGCTTTATCTAGGGTTCGACGAGGGTAAAAATAAACGTTATATAAACTTTGTGCGTAAGCATGAACAAACGTTAGCCCATGCAACGTTGAACTAACCGCTTATTTAACGTTTTATATGAGTCCAGAAACAAACGTTAGCTGCACAGTGACCCAGCGGGCGGCGCACAGGGGGGCAGGGGGGGGGCGGTCGCCCCCTATCATTTGCAAGAAAAAGGAAGAAGAAGAAGAAAAGAAAAAGAGAAAGTAAAAAAAGAAAAAGGAAAAGAAAAAGATAAAAGAAAAACTGAAAAAGGAAAAGAAGAAGAAAAGAAACATCTTGCAAATGTCCTTGTGCAAATGATGGGTGGGTGGGGGTCACCCCCCATCATTTGCAAGAAAAGGTAAAGAAGAAGAAGATTCTTGAAGATAATAGGGGGATCGCCCAAAACTGAGGTGATGTAGCCTACAAGCGGACCACTTTCATCGAAAAATCGAAAAATTAAGTGTCGAAATTCAATCCATATAAACCTGTGCTTAATCTGATAATCGGATGTCAAGGTGTTATTTTCTTGGAGTCCCAAGTTGGACCATCATTTGCGATGATGCTGTGTTTCCCGGCGGAAAGGTAGGCACACTTGAGGGTGTTAACAACTTATAATTTATATTACACTCGTTCAGACTGACCTCTAATAATACTCTTACATCGTATCTTATTTTTACCTCGCCAACGAAGTGGAGGGGAGGTTATGGTGATCGGGGTCTGTGCGTTCGTGTACACGTAGCGTGTGTGTGTGTGTGTGTGTGTGTGTGTGTGTGTGTGTGTGTGTGTGTGTGTTGTGTGTTGTGTGTGTGTGTGTGTGTGTGTGTGTGTGTGTGGTGTGTGTGTGTGTGTGTGTGTGTGTGTGTGTGTGTGGTGTGTGACGCGATCGATATTAGCGCGTCAGCGAGCGAGCCAGCAACAGCCGGCTGCTGCTGACTGCAGCGGCGAGCGAGCATACATGTAGCTGGCGTATTCGTGGGTTATTCGTGTGTTCGTGAGCGTATGGCGTATGGCGTATGTCGCTGGCGGAAGGTGCTCTCTCCGTGAGCTGCCTCTGTCTAGTTTTGGCTAGTGTGTGTATGCGCACGCGCGCGCCACGCGCCGCGTGCGCGTGTGTGTGTGTGTGTCTTGTGTGTGGCGTTGCGTGCGTTCATCTATCTCCGGGTCATGTTTTTCCTCCTCTACATATACAACATTATTGATTCAAGTGCTACAGCATTAGAGATTTTAAAGCAAATCACATCTGTTCCCCCAGCATTCCCGGAGAGCCCCTTTTTAAACGTGTCCAGTTTCATAGCATTGAATTTCAACGAAATCCTAGCTAGTTCCGGAGACCCATTTCGACATAGCCGGTTCCAGAGCATACCACATTCAGACAAACATTAGTTCCAGAGACCACCATTTTCAGGCAGGTCTGAGTTAGTTCCAGAGCCCCCCGCCATTTTAACTTGGCACATACCAGATACTACCATAATGTGGGTGAGTCCCCCCGGGGTTTCATCTCCTTGGTATATGTTGCTCTTGGTTCCCTGTACAATTTTTTGTCAGCAATTTGAGGGCTTTGATTAGCTAAACTGAGCAGCTTCCCCGGACTCCTGGGGCGGATTCATCAACGTTGCGCAAAGTGTATTGCGTACACAGAGTTTCTACGAAGTACGTACGCAAAGCTTGTAGGTGCGATTCATCAACGCAGCGTTGCACCTGCGTACGCAAATGTTGATGAATTCCGGTGTAAATCCACTACGCCTCGTAGCTGCTGCTGTTGAGGAGCGTGCCTAGCATAAACCAATCACACTGTGCGACACATACCATAGAACCAACACTGACGGCCTCTCTTGTATGTAAACCATATGGCTCTAGCGCTGTTACAGGAGTGCGGGGGATGGTGATAGTTGTCCTCATTTTCGTTTGTATGATTGTGTTCAACACTCGATGAAGGCAGCGACACGTACACGTGCGTGCGTGCGTGTGCACGTACACGTCGCGTGCGTGCGTGTGCAAGTACACGTGCCGTGCGTCGTGTGTGCACGTACACGTGCGTGCGTGTGTGTGTGACGTGTGCACGTACACGTGCGGGCGTGATGACGTAACACTGTGGCGTGCTTGTCCGTACGTACACGGTGCGTCGCGTGGTGGTACGTCGTGTACGACACGTGCGTGCTGTGTGTGCACGTACAAGTGCGCACGGCGTGTGCACGTACACGGCTAACTACCACTCGCTATAGCGAAAACAATGCACAAGCTATGACAAAAGCGTCAAAGGCGCCGCCTGTCTGTTGTTAGTATAGTAATTATTTTTAGTTTAGTAGTAAATTTTATAATGTTTTCAATAAAATAATGCATGCTGCGGTATGCTGGAAAACACCTGCGAATATTCGAGTGGTTTTACGGCCCTCGTCAGCTCGTGTAAAGTTACGCAAAGGTTTACGTAAATTTTAGCTTGATGAATCGCCCACCGTAAACGGCTTAGCTGGCGTACGCGAAATCGTACGAAAATTTCTAAATAGCTGTGTTTGATGGAATCGCCAACTAAGCAACGTCGATTGCCGTACACAAGATTTACGCAAAATATTTTGCGTACGCAGCTTGATGAATCATGGAATCTACCCCCTGGACCCACCGTCAGATGCAAAGCGACACCTGGTATCAGGGGCGTGTACAGGGGGGTCCGGACCCCCCCCCTCTCGCGCAGAAAACGCATCTGAGGAGAGTCTAATTTCAAAAAAAATTCTGGGGTGAGGCCCGCCAGACCCCA